CAGTCCCAAACGGCAGTTAAGTTGGCGTAAGAAGAAGGGCTTAATTGCTTTGATCCCCGAGTTCAAGGGCTTATATGCATCAATTACAGTCCAGGGGCCTAATAGCGATTCTGGGGTTGGTTCAGGGGCTTAACTTATGGTTTTGCCTAATATCAAAGAGATGATGTGGATTTTTTTTATTTATTAACTTTTTGAAAAGAGACGGGTCCGAAACCTGTCCAGGAAAAAAAGAAATGCATTTTTCAATGGTTAATGTCATTAGACTTTTAAGACCTAGTGCGATGTGGATCTTTTTAAAGATAATATATAATGGGAAAATATATGTATTAGTTTTTATTCTTAAAAATAATTAAAGTTTTAATTTAAATTATTATTTTATTTAATTAAAATTTAATTTAAAATTTAAAAAATTATTTTATTAAATGTTGATATATTAAAATATATAATGAGTTTTTAAATTTAAATATTAATATTTAATAAAATAAGATTTTAATTTTTAGATATAAATTAAAACACTAATTATGATTAGAAGTTGAGACTGAACCTTATATATAGTACTACTTTTATTTTGATAGAATAACTGAGTAAATATTTCATGTGCTATAAACAATAACCACTTGTTTTATTATTTTACCTTGTTTTCAGAATTGGTTGAACTTATCAACAATGTAAAATATTGTGTGATAAAGCAATGCTAATAACAATTTGCTATTCGATATAGTAGGTTACACCAATTATACCTCCTTAAAAAACCATGTCCAAAAGATGTGGATGAAGATGAGCAAAATTGGTTGATGACAAATAAATGGAATTCTGAAAAATTCAAGTATGTATGTTTTCAGTATCCAAAATTCCTCTATTTGCTATATTCACTTTAGTAGGAATTTTGTTTTGAAGCATCTGCTAAGTAAAAGCACTTAGTTTGCATCGCACATCTACTATCCATAATCTCTAAGATTTTTAATGCTTAACCCTTCTAATAGTTATTCCTACACACATTCTTCAATTCATTAAGTAACTATTATTTATATTTATAACAATTAAAAATCATATTATAGAAAATAAGGGTTGCGAATCAACTTAATAGAACAAAGGTGAAGCTAAAATCAACTACTGGTATAAAATCCATTATACAAACAGCTTATGAAATGGTAATTTCAAAATTAAGTGCTTTGATTAATATTATTTCTTGGTTAATATTTGCATTAAACTCTTATTTTGATTTATTCTTGTCTTTGCAAAATAGAAAGAAAAATCAGAAGGCAAATCTTGGCCCTCTAGATTAGAATTGTGGAAGGCTACTTGAAAAAGAAAAAAAATGGAGATTGGGCAGATTTTGATGGTGAACAAACTTTGGTAATTGTTTGCATACTATTATTTTATTAATTTATTAATAAATTATTTGATCAAAAGTAAGTAGTGTGTTTTTAATTTAGGGAATTCTTGAAGATATTGGTTTGATATATACAAATGAAATTTCTTCAACACCAATGCCACTCATAACACATTTTGGATATGTCTTAGGGAGAGGAAAAGTGGATATGCCCGTGGCCTTGGCATAGGAGAAATTAAAAAAAAATTATGAAGAGAAAGCACAACTTCAAGCCAATGCTGAAGAAGCCAATAAACGTGTTGATATCATGGAGGAGATTGAAAGATTAAATGGGGTCATAAAGAATCAAGAAGAGCGCAATGTATGATTTAAAGAAAAAATTTAAAGAGTCTTCATCAACAACAAAGTCAATCTTCTATATGTACTCAGTTGAAAAAACCTTTTTCCCAAATACACAAATCATTTCAAACAAAAATGGAAAAGAATATGGAATAGAAAGAAGGATGTTGTTCCTTTACAATCAGATTTTTTAAATATTTATTTTTATTGTTTTTAATAAAATTTAAATTAGAATAATTGAATTTTATCTCATTTGCAATTAATTATTAATATCTTATATTTATAATATTTTCCACATTTTTTTTCTTTTAAATTACATATACTTTAAAACAAAAAATTCTTTGAATTACTCAAAATTCATAATTATCAAATGACTGATTTAAATTAATTTTTTAGAAATTTTAAAATCTTATTTTTATAATATTGTGTATTTTTTTTTTGTGACAAAATTTGGGATTACAAATGTATGTTTTAATTAAATAAATGCCATTTTGTAATATTTATTAGTTTGGATCATCCAAGACTAAGTTTTCTATCGTAGATTCTTTATTGCAGTTATAATGATTTTTTTGTCACAATGAAAGTAACAACTATGTTGAAATGTTTTTGTCACATAAATTAATATTTGTGACCAAACTCTTTTTTCATAAACATATTTTAGTTACATAAATACTTGTCTTAGTTCAATATTGGTTTTTAATAATTGATAACCAAATTTTTGTTACAGATACTCAATTGTATTTGTGATATTTTTCCTTGTCACTTAATTGTTATCTTTGTGACAAAAATTATTGTGACAAAAAGGTTTTTTTTGTGATAAATAAAATTATTATAAATGACCCGTTAGCAATGTCAATTTTTTCTATCACTATAATTTTTTTTTTTTTGTGATAGGTACCAAATTCATCATTAAAAGTATTAGTGACAAAAGTTTTACTAACAATTTAAATTTTATCATTAATTCTTGCGACAAAATTACAGGAAATGAGCTCCAACTCAAGTGCTTGAGCTTACTGATTGCAATTCTTTAGCTAGTGCGACCTACAGGAGATGATTTTGAAAGTAACATTAAGACTAACATTTATGTAAATAGATTTTAACCCTATCATTATAAATATAAATAGATTTAGTGAAAAAGATGAATAATTATGATTTTATATAAGTGATTTGTGTAGAAATTATATATAATTAGAAAATCTTAATTATATATATACATGATTAATTTACATTGTTCTAAGGGTTACCTCAATTCTCAACTATTCATTTCAAAATTTTAGTAATAATGCAATACTTGAAAGTTTAAAATAACCGACTTAAATTCTAAAATACATTGTTGAGAATAAAATTTCTTTAAATTTACACCAATATAAGTGGATACCTAGTCCATATGGAAAATGGAACAGAAAGTATGAGGGGGACAAAATGAATGAGGCTCCTGTGAAAAAGATGTTTCTGATGAAGAAAAATCTTCTCCAAAGTAAAGAAAACCCTAGAGGAATAAATGTTGGGTTTTGACGAAAGGTGAGAAAGACTTAATGGGCCCTGCCTGGAAAGACATACGGGGAGAGATGTAGAGAAGTGGAAGACACGAGATCTATGAAATTTATTTTGAGAAGTTGCTGGCAATCAAAAACGGAAACAAAAACATAGCAATCGTTAATATACTCCCCTGTGAACAAAGAAATTTTAACGGATCAGAAGAAAACTAGTTATCTCTGGGTTTGATTCTTACTAATTAAGACAGATTTTTAGATGTCGTACAACATTATATAAAACCATTGAGATTATTTCCTCATGAACCAGGAGCATTCTAATTAAATGGTTAGAAGCTAAAGAGAGAAAGGTCCCTAGTCCAAGAGGACAAGACGGTCACCGACCCACCAAAATCTGGCACTATCAAACCAACAACAATAAGAAAGGACTAAGAGGTGAGAAAGAAAACAGAGACAAAGTCCAACCGGGCAGGATCAACACAAGTTACGCTACAAAGTTATCTGCTTGAAATATTTGACGTAAAGAATGTTGTATTACACTCCGCCTCACATGAATTGCACTATTTTTAACCATTGATGAATGGCCGAGCTCTCAATATCATGGGACTCTCCCCCTCCATCAGCAATTAAATAAAGTGTAACCCACACAAGGTGAATTGTGCTTCACTTTTCTATTTGATATATAGCTTGATCCATGAAAATGACTAATCGCTCAAGTCTCTACAACTCTGGTTAACATTAGGACTTACTTGGTTTGAAAGAAATGGAACACAATAAATCATCAAAAGGAAATGAAAAGATAAAAAGTAGAATAGAGTAAGCTTCTTCCTCCTCCCCCTCCATTCTTTTAATCCAAACTAAAAAAATTTCTTCCCTCCTCTCTACTCCCTTAAACCAAACATGCCCTTCAGCAATAATCGTTCTTTGATAACAGCCCATCATTCCAATAACAAACCAGAGAACAAGGCTCTCTCACCATCTAAAAACAAGAAGAGTATCATGATAACATCGATATTTAAAACAAGAAACCAAAAGGATTCTGAATCCAAGCAGGCAAGTGGACCTCTTTGCCAGAAGCAAAAATGTTAAGAGAACAACACATGTTATGTTTCGTACAAGGCTATCAATCTCATTATTAATTCTATGGACAAAAATAGAAGAAAACTATAGAGCAGAACGATATTAAGTACATACATCACATGCATGGTGTGGCTCATCAATAAGGGACTTGAAAGGAAAAGTAAAAAAACTAGAGGTACAATTTGTAATTGTGATAGATGATGCTCAAAACATACTGATTAATCATCTTTGTACTCTTTAGCAGCTCGTGCTTCAAAGCCCCCTTCTGCTCTCTTCTCAAGTGAGTAAGGCATGTATGTTCCCAGAATTCTATCCCACATGACAAAGAATGGTTGTGAGAAGTTATATTTGCTTCCATAAAGCTGATGGTGGACATCATGATATGCAGTATTGTTTCTAAAGAAGATGTGGAATAGATTCCCAGGGAGCCATAGCCCACAGTGATCGTCCACTGTTTTGATCGTAGCAAAAGAGAAGAAAAAGATTGAGGCTCGGGCAGACATGCCAGAAAGGAGAAAAGATAAGGCCCCACCTATGGTGTCAAGGAGAAGCCCCTCAATTGGATGATTGTACAAAGCTCCAAATGCATAGGGAACAACAAGCCGATGATGGAGAGAATGAATGTGCCGATATAAGAACTTGTTATGGTGCATGTATCTATGCATGAAATATTGCCAAGTATCCAAAACCAACATTGCCGTGATGAACTGCCTTGCTAAGACAATCAAGGAAAACTGCTGCCCTGTGGCAGACCCACCATCATCTCCTGTCACCTGAACAAGGGAAATATTTCAATACAATTTAAAACCCACATGTAGTCATAATTTCACCATAGGGATTACATAGAAGAAGACAACAATGAACACAGTATTTTCCCTGATAAAGTTAAGAAGTTATTTGAATAACGTTCATCAATATCAGAGGAAAAATACAGGAAAGACATACTAGCAAAAGCAAGCACAACTAAATGAAGAAGATCAGCTCGGATACATACGGACAAAAATAAAACAAGAGCAGCTGTAGGTTATGTAAAATGAAAGCAGTACAAAAATAAAGGCAAAAGTATCCAGTCCATAAGGCAGTAAGTTATCAACATCCCTATAAAGTTCTTGCTACCAGTAATGTTCTCCTAATTATACTATGCTTGCTCTTAAAACAGATTCCTGACACAAAACTTTAAGTCAGAAACAAAAACCATTTCAGCAAAATTAAAAACCAAATCTTTCCAGAATCAATTTTTTCTAGTTTATAATTCACATCTAGAAATAGAGTTGATCAACTTCTTCAAAGAAATAGACTTCATCAACCAACGCATATGAAGCACACATCAGTGCACACAAATGCAATATTACTGTTTACAAACATGGTTCTATGCTTGGAATCTCATTATCAAGATACTGAATGATAATACTGACACTGAATGGTTGACACAGCACCTAGGCAAGGATATTTGCCCAAAAATGATTGAAATCAACAACCTACTAATAAAAAAATGCTATGTTCATCTGGCCTTGAAAAATATCTCCTCTCCAATTAATGACTTTCAATGTGGTAAAAATCTAGTTGTCAGTCATCGTTTGCCATACCTAATTACCTAATTACCTAATTATACAGCATACTTCTACCAAAGCCTGCACAGGATTGCACATGCATGAAAGCAACAGACTCCAGCTATTAGCAATCTGAAGAATATCTTCAAATACAATCAAGGGTCAGAACTGGCTAGGGCCAGATTGTTATCAAATTTGCATAACTTAAATTTCTATCCTTTGAATAACTTGTCAAGCATGTACCTCACAAAAGAAGCTCCTTCAACCCTTTCCTAAAACAGTAATCTTCAACTAAATAAGGAAACTTACATGGAAATCCAGATTTTATCTAAACATGATATCTCTTCATTTATGCAGAAATCACTACAACAAGGCCACAAAGCCCGAAAACACTGAATTGTAAGCACCAAAAAGTTCAAAAACATACAGGATCTCCACAACTTATTACGTAAAGCTGAATTAAGCATAAAACAGAGACAGGAAAAATCACAGTTCCTCACACCCCTCTTGAAAGACTAAGCAAACAGCATAAATTATCAGTCTTTATTCTATTTCTGCCAACGAAAAGGAAGAAAAATTTATGGGCATACCGTAAACAAAATGATTGCTACAATAGCCTGAATGGTTTGTTGAAAAAGAACCCCTTTGACGACTGTGCCTTTGGAAACCAAATTCTTCTCGTCCTCATCTTTCTTAGAATGCAATCTGTAATTCTCAAAGGATCCCAGAAGCACGTATATCCCCGAATACATCCAATACACCAGGATTGGAACAAAAGTGCCCAACAATTCATCCGATACCGCAAACTCCATGATTCAAAAACCCAGAACAAAACACATCAAAAGAACTTCGAACCCACACTCAAATACGGAATTGAGAAAGATCTTCAAGGGTCAACGGGGTAACACCTGATGCGAGATGGATTTGGAATTCTGGGTTATTATATATAATAAAACGAAGAGTGAGTCTCTGGTTTTGTTAGGGTTTGAAAATTCAGAAGGCAGAGGAAAGGAAGATTCCTTAAAATGGAACATTTAGTTCGTTTTCCCTTTTTTTTTTTTTTTTTTTTTTTTTTTCAAGGGCTCCGGACATGGACTTTGGAAATATCAATGTTGGAGACATGATTCAATGTTGGCGATTCTATATTAGGACGTGCTACGTGCTTGGTTGGACTGGTAATTTGTGGGAAACGGTTCGGCCGCGGTTTTCTGAGGTTTCTATGGTCTACTGAAGCGGCGCCACCAACTCTGTCCCAGCTTTATACCAACCTCGGATTTTATTTGTAACAGTTTCTACTTATCAATTTCTTTATTTATCAAGGTCATATTAAAAAATTTATAAAACTTAATATAAAATTTTTTTAATTTAAATTTTATATTTATTTTTATTAATGAAGGTAATTGTTTACACCATAAATTGTAAAATTTTAAATTAATGCAACATGTAAAATTTTTATTGGCGGGAGGAGTTTGAGTCATGTTAGATTCGGATTCTGGGCCCCATGACAAATCAGCACATGTGTCGGCAAGATAGGAGAGGTAAAGATAATGTTTTATGGAGTAATTATCTTTTTAAAACAGAAAGAGATAATGGCAGCTAGAAAATAGGGGAAGATCACAGTTAAAAAGGGGATTTTATCTGATAAAGTACCGGTGGTGAAATCTGTAAGGAGATAAGACTAAGTCAAAGGTGAGGTGTCCCACTACTTCAAAAAACCACTCATGATTGGGTAACTGCAGAAAGTGGAAGTTACAGCCGGCACATGGGGAACAAAAAGGAAATTTTGGTAGGAAGAACAGACAGCCAACCTTACTCAAACATCTGCAAATTTTCATACTTTGATTTTCTCTGCACATGCTTCCAGATTTTGGATTTCAGCACAGATTTCAGATTTCAGCACAGATTCCATTAGAATTAGGTTGTTTTTTTTTTTTCATCATTTCAATAGACAAATTAATTCCTATATTCAGTTAAACAATTTCCTTTCATGCAATGAACTTCAATCCTTCAAGTTTATGCAAGGTATTGTTTTCTTTTCATTTGTAATTAATTTAATGTTTATGATAAGTAGCATTTTATTCAATGATTACTTATGTGGTGTTCATCCCTCTTTTCAACTTCAAGCATGGTAGTTTAATTACTGTTCACGTTAATTTTTACTGTTAATTAAGATGAAATCTTCAATTTTGTAGCATGTTAATTTCTAGATCTGCCAGTACATTGCACTTTAATTCAACAATGAACATGTTTAGTTTAATTTGGGCACTGCTATTTCTTGTAAATTTACTTTAAATTGCAGGTAATTTAGAATAATTAGGATTTGTTAATTTTAAGTCACGATAGTGTTTAAGTCCTTGGAGTTGTCCAAGGCAGATTTCTTAACCCATTCTGCAGGAAAGTATCCCTCCCTCTTGCAAATCGTCTGAAGGCGCAATTTCAATTTTAATCCAACGTTCTTCCCACCATTTGCGAAGAGATCAACCGTGAGAAAGGAGAGGGTTGTTGGGAAAGTCTTCATTTTTTTACTTTCAGCAAAGTAAGTGGCACGCCCGCATCCAGATTTCACACGTGTAATGTCTCTAGAGGAATTTTGGGGAAACAGTAATTAAAAAATTGAGATGTGTTTTTTAAGAATGAAATAATAATTAATAAGAGTAAAGTTGAAAAAAATAAAGGATTTAAATACTATGTTAAAAACTAAAGTTAACAAGTAAATTAAAATATTTTCTTTTAAAAAAGTATGACATGTAAAATGAACTAGAGATGATGATGCTTTAAGGGTATGTTGTCTTGGTCATAATGTCAAGACATCATATTATAATCACAAAATAGATAAAATTTATAGATGAAATTTATATCAAAATGTTTGATTATAATCATAAAATAAGTGAGATATAGTGTAAGTTTTACTTTAAATTACATTTATTATATGGTTAAGATTAAACCTTTTGATATTAGACTGTACGTCTTAATGTTTACATATTTGTATTACTCATTTTATCTTTTATAGTTATATTAGACCCTTAATTTTATGTATATTAACTTGATATATCATTCACCACCCTTATTGGAGTAGGATTCCTTCTTCTTTAAGGATTTGACCACAGATTCCTTCTCTATATAAGGAATTCCAACCACATAATTGTGTTGCTTGTTTTTCTCTCTTTTTTCTTTTTTGTATCTTTTCTTTTTGTAGTAGGATTCCTTCTTCTTTAAGGATTTGG